AAGAAGAAGAAGAAGAAGAAGAAGAAGAAGAAGAAGAAGAAGAAGAAACAACATTCAGAGCAAATTGTAAAGCACCGCACAAACAAATACTTAAACATTCCTATTTGTGAATTCCAATGTAATATAGATCAGAGTTCCCCAATACCCAGTCCAGAAACTGGTCCAGACAAACATGCTGCCTGCATCCCCCATCCACAGGATAAAGGCAGCACGTGAAACCATCCAATCTGCAGAAAAAAACCTCTCTCCACAGAACTATCCTGGTGTCCAAAAGACTGGGGAGCACTGGCACAGACCTTCCATGGCCTCAGCTTTCTTTCTGATGTTATTTTGCCTATAAACCAAAATATACTGTCTTCATTTGGGTTTTATAACATATAAGAGCCATGGTGGCACAGTGGTTAGAGTGCAGTACTGCAGGCTACTTCTGCTGCTTGCCGGCTGCCTGTAATTTGGCACTTCAAATCTCACCAGACTCAAGGTTGACTCAGCTTTCCATCCTTCTGAGGTGGATAAAACGAGGACTCAGATTGTTTGAGGGCAATAGGCTGGTTCTGTAAACTTGCTTAGAGAGGGCTGGAAAGTGGTATATAAGTCGAAGTGCTATTGCTACATAATACTAGCTACCATGGTTTGAAAATCCTGGTTGAAGCCTTAACAGAATACCCTAATCTATTCAGCAAATCCTAGTTAATAAAAAAGAAAAAAAAAGATACAATGACACAACGTGTGAATCCAATGTCTGAAATAGACCACCCTTTTCACACATGGGCCTATAAAACAGAATTTTACTACATTTTTTTTTTCAGAGATGCTAAAAGTCTTATAGAAAGTTAAGACAAAATGCTTGTATTTATAGATTATTTCATTTTGCAGATTTCAATAAATATTTTCGATAACAATTTGTAAGAACTGGGTTCTATTTTGTAGCCTATATGAGGCATAAGCTGGAGAGCACAATGGGAAAGTATTTAATTTGTTACAGAACTTCTAGAGAATGAAGCCTTGAAATATTACCTTGTTACATTTCTATTGAGTGTTCATGCAACTTATGCTAATACAAAATCAATTATTAAAACAGGAAAGCAGACAAAACAGTAACCCCATTTGATTTCTGCTTGGCATAGATCCTTTGAGCCGGATGAAGATCTTACATGCTGTCTCCACGTTTGCAAATGATCGCAATCATTTAGTTTTTGACAGGGAGAGAGGTATGCCAGTTCTTCCTACCCAATGCTCTTGATCCCAGCTAAGTTAATTGGCAAAAAGCTTCCTTGAAAATGCCAGGCTCACGATGGGCTGCATTGCAGAAGGATTCAAGATAAGCCACAGGAAGGAAAGAGAAAGCTCACTCGAATGTAGAGTTAGGAGTCAGCCCTTGTGGTGGAGCCCAGCGGTTCTAAGCATGTGCTCCCTTTTGGAGAAGTGACTGTCCTAATCATTTGTGGAGCTGCTGTGAAAAATCCATCTCACCAGCCAAATCGTTCAGATTCAAGAGGAGGTGAACATTGTCGATGGAGACGGAGATGATGATGGTGATGGGATTTCGTCTAGACATTGCTAGTGGAGCTCACCAGAGTTTCCTATTGTGAATCAAGGGCTGTTTCCTTCCACTTTGGGCAGGGAGAGATAAGCTCTTTCTGACCTTTCTAGGGTTTCTCCCATCCCTCCATTGATCCATCCGTCCACCCATCCACCTATCCCTCAAGAGAGGAGGAACCATCAATCAATCCAGCACTGAAAAGACTCCATTGTTTTCACAAGTGTTCCATCTACCATCTACCCGTTACACTGGTTTCGCCCACGGTAGACCAAGGTTGCTTTTAGCAGCTGGTGCCCTATGTTACCTCCCAAACTGCAAGGGGAAATACAGGCATTCTTCAGGTCGTTTATTCATAAGTCATCTACCCAACATATACAGCCAGAATGCCAAAATAGAAGCCTCAGTAGAGACAAATGAAGCAAAAAAAAAAAAAAAGAGTAACCAGATGTACGCTTATAATGTTTTAGATTTTATATTTCAAAGATGTCGAGACTCTAGAAAGAGTGCAGAGAAGAGCAACAAAGATGATTAGGGACTGGAAGATAAAACATATAAAGAATGGTTGCTGGAATTGTCTAGTTTGATGAAAAGAAGGACTAGGGGTGATATGATAGCAGTCTTCCAATATCTCAGGGGCCGCCACAAAGAAGAGGGAGTCAAGCTATTCTCCAGAGCCCCTAAGGGCAGGACAAGAAGCAATGGATGGAAACTAATCAAGGAAAGAAGCAACCTAAGGAGGTATTTCCTGGAAAAGAGAACAAGTAACCTGTGGAACTCCTTGCTTCCAGAAGTTGGTGAATGCTCCAACACTGAAGGTTTTTAAGAAGAGATTGGATAACCATTTGTCTGAAATGCTGTAGGGTTTCCTGCCTGTGAGCCATGAGGAAACAGATAGGGCTCCCTGGAGAGTCACTTGCAATCCTTGTAGTTGGATTTTTGTGCTTCACAATTGGAAAAGGATTCCCATACAGTGATAAAAAGTGGGAAGACTTCGGGTGTGACATGAAAACCCTGCCCAGACTAGCTCTGCCGTTCCCCAGTTTGCTCCAAAGGCCATGGAGCCGCCCCCTCGATCTCTGTCAGCCCCTGTTCCAGCTCATCTTCCCCCACAGATTCAGGCTACCACGGGGGCCATGACGAGAAGTTAGATTTACACAGTTAGCAATGCTTCCTTGAATGAAGAGTTGTTCTTGTTGCCTCTTGTAATAGTATGTGGGAATGGGGAATGGGAAAATTCGCCACAGCCAACTCGCCTCAAGGCAGCTCATTGCAGGAGAACTTAAACAATCCTACTTAATTATTTAAAATAAATTTTAAAAATATTTTAATTTTTGCTATTCACATTTCATTTTGTCCTTCCTTTTGCATCCTTTCTTTCATGATTCTATTCCACCATATCATTGATATTAGTGTAACTCATGTCCCGCAGCCACTTGTCCTGCAGTGAGTTGGCCATGGTGAGTTGGCTGTGGCAGGCTGGTCATGGCATCATAGACTAATGTCATAGACTAGTGGAAACAGAGGTGGCATTCAGCAGGTTCTGATCAGTTCTGGAGAATCAGTAGCGGAAATTTTGAATAGTTCAGAGAATCAGTCAATACCACCTCTGACTGGCCTCACCCCCATCTGTTCTCTGTCTCCCGTTGAGTCCCAGCTGATTGGCTGGGTCTTCTTTGGTTGCCCTGCACAGGAGAACAGAGCTGGAAAGCAGGTTAGTGGGGTGGGGAAGGAATGGGATTTTCCCCAGGAGTAGGGAGGGAATGGGGATTTTACAGTAACCTTCCCCTGCCCTGCCCACCAGGCCATGTCTACCAAGCCATGCCCACAGAACTGGTAGTAAAAAAAAAGAAAAATTGAATCCATCACTGGGTGGAATGACCTTGGAAAAACCAGGAAAACCAGGTGCAAACAAGGGAACAGTCAGCTAAAAGGCTGCTTAGCCTGCAGCAAGAATGTGGGAGGAGCAAGAAGTCAGAAAAACCCTCCCTAAGTTTTAGGTTGTAAAAGGGACTCTTCTAAGTAATTTTTTTTTAAAGAAAATCTTATGGAAATGATCCGTTACCAAATGATCTGTTATAGCAGTCCAAACAGTCTGATGCAGAGAATATATTAACAATCTTTAGTGACAATAATTCAACAGTATGTCCCTAATCAAAGGTAGCGTACCTTTGAATCCATGAATCCACGAAGCTAAAGAAGGACAAGGTTGAAATGATAAACTAAGTTTTCAAGTGGGATTTATTAGCCATCCTTAGCATATTCTCACCCCTCAAGGAAGTTCTGGGGCTTTGTTGTGTTTTTGTAGGTAGAAAGAAATCCCCCTAAGTAGCAGTCCCAAATAGATGCCCACAAGGAACCAAGTCCCTTTACATATGTTTAAAAGGCAGGAAGAGAGTTACAGGGATATACTGTATATCTTACTGATGCAGCTTTATAGGGCAATGGTAGAAGGGAATATTTATTTTTGTCTGAAAGAAAAAGCCTCCAAAATGCATATTTAAATTGACAGGCAGCATCAGTTCTAAGTGGAAACATTATAGTCTGCTGAATGCATTTTAATACAAGAAGGGTCTACTTTTTTCCTTTTCACTTTTTGTACACACACACACACACACACACACACACACACACACACACACACTGCCCAGATGAATATTTACTAGTGGAATAATTTAAGCTTTGGCAGAAAAAGATAGGCAGTCTTATATCTTCTTGAAAGGAAGAGATACTTTTTAAAAATCTTTGACAGCCCAGTAGAATGCTAGGAAGAAATTATGTTTAAAAAGGGCCCAGCCTAGGAAACAGAGCAGGATTAAACTTGATACTGGGGGTTAAGGGGGATGAGAAAACCCAAAAGAAAGAGGGAAGTCAAAAATGAACTAGATCTAGCTGAGGACTGGAAAAAAAAACATTCTTGGGGGAAAATGTGCAGGAGGAAGACACTTAGACCAAGGTTAAGAAACATTGAAAATCTTGAAGATGTATGGACTTCAACTTCCACAATTCTCTAGCCAGTCATGCTGGTTGAGGGAAATTTTGGGAGTTGAAGCCCACACACCCACTGAGTTAGCTTTTGGGATATGTTCCTTACCTTTCTTTCTTTTCAATTTTCTATCCATCAGTGTGCTTCCCTCTCTTTCTCTCTGTGAAATGCTATCCTTTTCTCCTTGACACTTCCTTGGAATCGGAATACAGCTTCTATTCATTTTCATTTCATACGAGACAAAGAATAGTTACATTTTTTTAAAAAAAAATGTTCTCCAATTTTACCTCAGGGATAAATAGAACATACTGTAGTATGTATGGTGGAGCCAGATGAATGGCTAACTAGGTAACAGGCCATTGTCCCTTGTGGTCAAACCATTGTTTGAGTAGGAAACCCTGAGCGCAAAAAGATAATTATGGTTTGTGTTTTCAGAACACACCTAATTGTGGTTTACCTTAATCCAACTGACTGGCATTATATGCCGCTTTGAACCACAAACGAACACCCTGGGGAGCAATAGAGCCAAACAGATTGTCGGCTGAAGTGTTGTGTGTAAACACGAATACATACACACAGAGAAAGAGTTATTGCCATAACTGAAAGACTAATTTCTGAAACACTTCTAGACTTTTGATCAGGCATAGCAAGAGGGAGATCTGCATACAGATTGATACAAACAGATTAGGAAAGAAGGAAATAAAAGCTCTAACCAGGGTGTAATGTTCTTAAACACTTTCCATCCTGGGATTCTGCAGCATGAACAATACACTGAGGTGTATCTTCGTCTCCATTTCAAGCTACCTCTTTATCCTCTTCAGCTGCTAAAAAGTCCTTAATCCTTTCATATAGCCAAACAGCTTGTGTTTTTTTTTGAGCATTGAGCAATATTGATTCTCTCTAAAATGTGCCTCCTTCCTTTCGCATTGAAGATTTCGGTTTGTGTTGCTTTGCTTCCCTCCCCCTGTTCTCTCTTCATGCAATATTATTTCCCTGCCAGCTTTCATTCAATTCAAGGAAGAGAAAAGAATTACTTCAAAAAGTAATTCAAAGGAGAAAAGAACTTCAGCGAAGCTCCCATGGTTAGAAGGTGGTGTTTTTACATTTACTTTTTGTTGCACAATGGATAAAGGCTATACACGAATGTCTTGCAACCATCGTCTCTCCATTGGTATGAAGCTTTTCAGGCTTTCCATGCTGCCGTTACATTCCCAAGAAAAATATTGGATGGAACTTTTTTCGTAAGCAGCAGTAATGTTTTCTGTCCAACAGGACTCCTGCCCTGGAGAAATGATTGGAAAAGATCTCCAGGGGAAAAAAAAAAACACATTTTAGTGCAGACTTTGGAAGGTTGGCTCTTCCTCAACTAGTTTTGAGGATTTCTTTCCTCCTCTGGCATGGCCACACAACTCTTCCCGAGTTATAATTGGTTAGTCCGTGAATAGATAGAGCAATCCAATATCATCTGGCCAATTTATGGTTCCATAACTCTGTTCTCCATGTCACACAGATTGCTTGGGGTGGAAAAAGGGATAACCCAGTGTCCCAAAGATGCTTTTTCAAGAGGCAACTGCACTTTCTGGTTTTTCTTTGAAGACATTTCACATCTTACCCAAGAAGTTTTTTCAGCTCTGACTGGATAGTAGGGAATGGAAGGATTTATACTCCTTTCAGACAGCTGGTCATTTGCATTCTTTTAGAGAGTTGTTAAGGCTTATCTGTGTCCTCCGGGTCATCTGAGTGGTGCAAATGGGTGTGGAGCCTTCTTGGAACTGTTGAATTCAAGGACTGTGTTGTAGACTGGAGATAGATGATGTTGTATCCCTCCCCTTCTCTTGAAATAGGACTGTTCAATTTGGAAATAGATGGCCTCTTTGACTACCTCTTTCAAACCAGCAATCCCCTCTGTCCAAAATGTGGACTTTGCTGTCTTAGAACTGCAGAAAAAAACAATTGCTACCAACCTGCACAAGTCAAAAAGAAGGCTGTGAAAATATCTACAGACCCCTCACATCCTGGACATAAATTGTTTCAACTTCTACCCTTAAAATGACCTATAGGGCACTGCACACCAGAACAACTAGACACAAGGACAGTTTTTCCCTCAATGCCATCATTCTGCTAAGCAACTAATTCCCACAATACTGTCAAATTATTTAGTAAGACTATATTACTATTCTTCTTCTCATCCTTATTAGTACCTATCTCTTCCCACTTATGGCTATATCCATGGTGCTTGTATCTTTACAAATTATATTGCTTTAAATTTGTTACCTAGTATGATTTAATTGCTTATTAAGATCCTATGACTAAATGTTGTATCTTATGATTCTTGACAAATATATTTTATTCTTTCTTTACATACACTGAGAGCATATGCACCAAGACAAATTTCTTGTGTGTCCAATCACACTTGGCCAATAATGAACTCTATTCTATTCAAAAGAATGGCCTTTGTCTTTTAAATGCAGATGGACTGCTGAATCTTGTCCTGATGGGTTTTTTCTCCTATGTTGTGCCATGTGTTTATGAAATGGTTGCTGGATAACCCAGTGGTTCTTAACCTGTGGTCTACGGGCCCCTGGTAGCCCGTGAAGTCATCACAAGGGATCTGTGAAGACTTGAAGAAATGTGAAGATTTAAATCTTGAGTTAAGTCTTGATGGTCCATGGTCACAAAAGGTTTTTAAAAGAGATCCATGGTGAAGAAAAGGTTGAACACCATTTACAGGTTGATAACCTGTAAATCAACATTAACTGATTAATTTTAGGGGTCCAGTTGTTTGTAATTACAGTATTTTTTTCTGTTTTATGTCTGGAAATTTTATTTATTTGTATTGATTAAAATAATTTATATAGTCACCCATCCCCTTAACAAGTGACTTTGGGTGAGGTACAACAGAGCTAAAATCTTGAAAAGTATAAAAATCAAACTAAAACAAAGAAAAATAGAGAAAGGGGTGCTAACAATAGAAAAGCTACACGGATCATTCAACCATCTTCTGAGGTCGCCAGGCTCTTGCTGGTATAATAATCAGATCTTGAGAGACCATTAGAAGCTCAATGATGTCAAGGCCACATTCACTTCAGGGAGGAGAAGATTCCAAAGCATGGATGCCACAGAAGAAAAGCCATGCATGCCCTACCAAATGTAACTCCCTGGCCAATGGAAATCATAACATCAGAGGTGGTATTCAGCAGGTTCTGGCCAGTTCTGGAGAACTGGGAGTGGAAATTTTGAGTCATTCGGAGAACTGGCAAAGACCACCTCTGACTGGCCCCACCCCCATCTATTCTCTGCCTCCCAAGTCCCAGCTGATCTTTTGTTGCCCTGCACAGGAGAACGGAGTTGGAAATCAGGTTAGTGGGGTGGGAAGGAAATGGGGTTTTGCAGTAATCTTCCCCCAGGAATGGGGAGGGAATGGGGATTTTGCAGTAACCTTCCCCTGCCATGCCCACCCAGCCATGCCCTCCAAGCCACACCCACAGAACCAGTAGTAAAAAAATTGAATCCACCACTGGTTGAAGTCCACAAGTCTTAAACTTGCCAAGTTTGAAGACCCTTGTTTTAAGGCCCATTAGAAGCTCAGTGATCACAAGGTCACATTCACTTCAGGGAGGAGAAGATTCCAAAGCATGGATGCCACAGAAGAAAAGTCATGCATGTCCTACCAAATGTAACTCCCTGGCTAAAGAAAATCATAAGATGTCCCTTCTGTTGGATCTGGTTGGTGATCTGATGAAATTGGGGAGATCTCAACTCTCATATAATCCAGTCCCATGCCATGAAGTTCTTCTGAGATCAAGGCCACCTACCTTCTGTCGCTTTGCATTACCGCAGCCCTCAGCTACCAAGTATGGGCTGCAAATATCCAGAGGACCACTACATGGGAGCCAAGAGATTACTGTTTGCTACCCATCCGTGGCTGCCTGGATTTTTGCAGCTTAGTTCTGCCGGTCCCAGTTTAGCTCATTCCAGCACTTATTCATTATCACCAACAGCAGAATTTCCATTTCCTTTTACTATATTGCTGTCATGGGATTGTGAGAAATGACTCTTCTCTGGGTAGCGTTGATCAAAATGTCATGTGTGGGTGTCCAGAAAAACACCAGGGAGAAGGTTCAGAATTTACAAAAACTGGGCAATCTATTTTAAAAGATAATTAATTTAAGTGTCCTTTTTTTTTTTTAATGGTGGGTCTCTCCGAAATATCAGCAGCAACAATTGAAAAGGAAAATAAGAGAAGCCAGAAATATTTTTTTCAATCTCTTCTACCCTTTCTACTCCAATATTTTTTCTTCTTCTCTATTTTATTAGTTTTTCAGAAGTTTTAACTAGTTCTAGTAAAATATTAAGTTTAACAGGATGAATGGTGGGGAATGATAGGGGAGACACATGGAAAAAAGAAAATTGAGATAAGCTGAGAAAGTTGTAAAGAAAAACAACAAAAGAATATTTGAAAAGGGAAAGGAAATTCTCTGCTAATGAACTTAGTTTTGGGTTATGATGCAAGATAAAACAAAATTTGGATATTGTAGACTTTTGCACTCTGCCTATTCCTCTTCTTTAAAGGCCAAATATTTGTTGTTGTTGTTTTTTAAAAATCTGCAACTATAGATGTGATTTTCTCCTGTGAATCTCTTTTTTTCCTTATGTTGTTCCCATAAAGAAAAATGCCACCACGTCTGTTGAATTTAGGGATGGGGTATTTTTTAAATCCCAATATACTGCACAGAATTTATATTTCAGACACTCTTTTGTTGTGTTACAAAGATTCTAAACCGATTGATTTAGTCAATAGAGTCTTTTTCCCATTACTATTTGCAAGGTTTTTATTTTCTTTTAGAAGTCTGATAAAAGCCCAGATATACAGTATTAACAGCTATATCTGGTGCAAGTTTGTTCAATTACAAATTGCACTTCCAGTTTAAATGCCAAGATGAGAGATGAGAGAGGGGGAGGGGGGATAGATGGATGGATAGATGGATGGATAGATGATAGTGATACATATAGATGATAGAGATTGATAGAGATAGATGATGATAGATGATAGATGATAGAAGATAGATAGATAGATAGATAGATAGATAGATAGATAGATAGATAGATAGATAGACAGACAGACAGACAGACAGACAGACATGGATAAATAAATGAGATAGAAAGAGATGATAGATGATGGAGATACATACGTAGATAAATGATAGATACACAGATGAGCAAAAGATATTTAGAAATAGAAGTAAGTAGGTAGGTAAAGAGAGTGGGAGATAGATAGATAGATAGATAGATAGATAGATAGATAGATAGATAGATAGATGATAAGATAAAAGATAAGATATGATAAGATGATAAAAATAAGATAAGATATGTAGATTTAAAATGAAGAATGGGAAGCGTTGACTCAAGTCAAAAAGCTGGACTTTGGTAAACATGAGCTGGAAGACAAAATAAATTTTCCTCTTATTTTGAGCTTTCCCTCCGAGAATGGGCCATATAACCAAAGATCCAGTCATGAGAGATGAAAGACAGGGAAAGGATCTCTGACTTTCACAAAATCAGTGGGGATTTCCACAAGCAACCTCTGGAGCCTCAGGTTAGCAGGGTTTCAGGGTATGCATACCAATTCTGCCCTTGAATTTTTATAGCCCAAGGACCAATGGAAGATTCACCTGCAATTGTGACTGTACCATTTCGAGCATAAAAGGGGAGTCTAAATCCCAAACCATCCTACTGTACTGTATGTATATACAAATATTAAATATTTATGTATGTAAAGTGAGAGAATTATATTTCTCCAAGATTTATTGGGACTGTGTCTTCTTTAATCATGTAAGAGCATTTTTTTAAAATATAAATGGAATTGTTTGTGAGGATACTAACAATTTATTATTAACAACAAGGGGTATAATTAACAGGTAGATAATCATTTATTTCACATTGTTTAAATATTATTTGTGATACATTATTAATAGAAATTAATGAACTTTGGGGACCGCTAAATTTTGTTGTGCCTATGGCCCCATGCAGGCGTAATACACCACTGGGAATAGCCGACTTGTATTAAACTGGGAAGTCAAAGTAGATGAGAATATGTAGCTCAAGGTTGAACCGTGGGGTCTTTGATGTTCTCTGAGCTTGGTTGTTTGCTTACTGACAGTTCCTTATCCAAAAATATAACACCATCAGTGTTGGTGAATGTGGCATTTACTCTCTGTTTATATAGAGTAGTGGCCCCTGCCAGCATTGGTGAGGGTATCATTTTTCTCTTTGGTAGTTCCTTGATTAGGGTATAACCAACACAACTTATGACAGCCTAACCAACACAGGCTATGAAAATGAATGAATGAATGTATTATCTAGCGTGATTAGACACACAAGGAATTTGTCTTGGTGCATGTGCTCTCAGCGTACATAAAAAGAAAAGATACATTCAGATTTAACTGATAATCAGAGTTGGAAGGGACCTTGTAGGTCACCTAGTCCAATCCCCCCACCCAAGCAGAAGACCCTATACCATTTCTGACCAATGGCTGTCCAATCTCTTCTTGAAAGTCTCAAGTGATGAAGCTCCCACAACTTCCGAAGGTAGGTGTTCCATTGGTTGATTGTTCTCACTGTCAGAAAATTTCTCTTTATTTCCAGATTAAATCTCTCCTAGTTCAGTTTCCATCCATTATTTCTTGTCTGGCCTACAGGTGCTTTAGAAAATAGCTTGACCCCTTTTTCTCTGTGGTAGCCACTCAAATATTGGAACACATTCATCAAGAATCATAAGGTACAACACTTAATGATAGTCATAGGGTACAAATAAGCAATCAAACCATACTAGGAAACACTCAATATAAATCATAAGGATACAAGCAACCAAGTTACAGTCAT